TTAACGCCGCTTCAACTTGGGCTTCAACCTCAAACCTTGCACGTCAACAGGGACTTGGGGCCGGTCGCGCCCCCTAAGGCGTGGGCGGTGCGTCAGAGGTCCCCCGCAAGGCGTGAGCAGCGGTGTTGAGGTCCCTTTTGAAGGTCAGGCGGCTGTGTTGAGGTCCCTGTTGAAGTGCAGGGTTTAAGGGTGAAGTCCAAGTTGAAGCGCCGTTTAACATATCCCGCCGGCGGGATATGTTATAGCTGGCGCTTTGATTGCGCTCTAATCACACTCGCGTTCTGAGGGCGGTATTCGCCGCATTATCAGAATTGCCCCGGGGGGGGGGCGGGCGGGAGGGGAGGGCCAAAAATCCGCCCTATTAGACGATCTGGCTGCTCCCATTTCTGGATTGGTCTCGCCCGGCTCATTCCTCCACCCAGGATGATTCTTCAGTGTTGTCCTCCTCCGGATTGACCGCCGCTCGCTGCCTGCGGGCTCGGGACAGGATCCAGTCGAGATTGTTGAGATCGTCAGGGGGCGCAAAAGGTGGAGTCGGGTTGAGGGGGGGGGGGAGAGGGGGGCGGGGGTTCATATACTGCGACTTGCGGGCTTGGCGAGCGGCCTTGCCTGCGTTAGGTGCGTGTCGGCGGGGCGATACTCGGCACGGACGCCGGGGAGCATCACGCTCGCGCTCGCGCCGAATCGCGCGGCGGGTACGTCGCTGGGCGTCGCGGGACTCGCAAAGTGCGCGGAGGAAGTCACGCAGGGTGGAGAAGATGGCGTCAAGCGGCTCGCTGTCTTCGCAGGCAAAATATTTCCGTAGTTCTTTAGCTTGGACAAGGAGCGGTGAAACTGACTCGCGTTCGAGCACGTCGCACCGTGCTGTAGCTTCGTTGAGAAGCTTGGCGAGGCGCTTGCGCTCAAGGTTTCGCCGTGCGGGGGGCCAGTCGTCGGGGATAGGCGGTGGCGATGTGTCACGCGGCGACAGAGCCGTTTGGCCGGAGTTGTCACCCATGGCGTCAGCAGAAGCACCAAGAAAGAAGTGTGCGTGGGTACGCGCAACCGTTCGAGGCCTCGGGTGCGCGATCTCGGCAGCTCCAGCCCCGCGGTGGCCGACTGGTGTTGAAAATTCGTCCTCAGGCGCGAACTGAAGAGTCGCGCAGAGGACCTCATGCTCGAGCTTGGCGAGGCCGTCACGTTTGAATTTCTCCGCATCACTAGCAACAACTCGCTCGTCAGCGCCACGTGCGCAATCGAGGGCGGCGAGGATGCCGTCGCACTCGGGAAAGTCGAGGAGCTCATCTTTGAGGGGGTCCCCCCGTGGCAGCTCACCAGGGACGGCTAGTGCAACGTCGCTGCCATTCGCGCGGACGCTCGTGGGGCGCGGTGGCGTAGACACGGCATTCGCAGACCGGGGGTGGGTCGAATATTCACGATCGACTTTGGAACGGCCGGCGACGCCGTGGCCTGCGCCGTCATCATCGGCGTCGCGGCTCGCGTCGTCGCGGTAGAACTTGCGCTCGGCGCGGTCGAGGATGAGGCCAACGACGCCATCTAGCAGGGTCGTTTTACCATCGGCGCCCTTGGTCCGCGCGGCGGCCAGGAGCGAGCTTAGCTTGACCGCCGACGCACCTCCCTTGGATGAACCCGCGTTAACTGCGTTGCCCGCCGCGAGCACGTGACCTACACGCAGATTTGAAACGGTGAGCTGGACGTTCCTGGAGCCCTCCCCAGCCTCTAATCTCAGTCAAACTATCGTGAGCCTAGTCGGACGAACGACAAACGACAAACGACGATCCATAGTGAATCGCCAAGGGATTAGACAGGCGGAACCCTCCCCGCGCACCTTCTCCAGCCCCTTCCACACACACACACACACACGAGCGCGTGCGCAGAGCCACCCCGAAGTCGCCTTTGACTACGACCACACCGGATGGGGCGGAGAAGCTTGGCAAGCGCACGGCTGCGCATGACCTTGGCTGCGCAGTCAGCGTAGGCGTCGGCACGCTCCGCGACGGCGCCAAGGGCGTGATCGGCGCCAAGGGCCGTGACGAGAGCATCGAGGCGAGACGAGAGGAGGCTTGGGACTGCGCCGCGCGCCGCAGCAGCGCAATCTGGCGTCGCTGTGCCCGCGAATGTGGCGAGCTGGGCCTCGCACTCGACGACGGCAAAGACAAACTTCTCCGCGGGTGCGAGCTGGTCGGCGACAAATGCTGCACGGAGCCTTGCAAGACGTGTCGCACGATCAGGCGGCAGTACCGTGTGTATCACGGATGCCGCGCCATGCGCCGCGGCGACCACAATGTCCTCGCAATGGAGACGCTCCCAGGCACTCGGGCTCAGCGGCGCTGAGTCTGCGGCATCCTGAGCGTTGCCATAGGCTCTTTTGTTTGGATCGATGGGAGAGGAAGGCATCGACAGTGTCCCAAGCTTTGTCTTGATAAGCGCCGCATCGAGGCGGTCCAGCTCGAGGGCGCTTGCGTGCGCGACACCATCGTAGACACGCGACGCCACAAGGCGCTTCTCATCTGGCGTTGGCATTGCAGCGCGAAGGGTCTCGAGCCTGGGTCGCAAGTAACGGTAAAAGACGGTGAAAGCTTGTGTTCTAAACATTCATCATAATTCATCCGAACGACGATGATAAGTCGTCCAAACAACAGCGAAACACTAAAGGTTGATCGAATGCGTGAAACGATAGCGCTAACTGTGCGACCCTGTATCGAACTGCTCGATAGAAACGCGCGGCGGGGCCGCCGTGAGTCGTGCGAGGGCACACGCAAGGGCAACGAAGCTCCCGTCGTAGGCTCTCGCAAGGGGAGCGATGGTTATGGCTAGGTTCTGTGACCGCTGCGGGTCGAGAACGCGCGCGTTCGCCAGCGTTTTGCCACAAAGCCGCAAGACGTCAGCCTGCGACGGGAATGATACGTGAGTGCATGCGCTGTGTGGAATATGTGCCCCTGGAAGACTGTCACATGCAGCGTTCAATGAGTCCCACGTTTGATGCTAGTAGCGACGTGCAGGCGCTGACACTCACATCGTCCTCAACGCATAGTGCATGTGATCGTCCGCCCAGCAGGCCCCCAGTGCTTGCTTCCTCGAAAAGGGTCGCGAGCCGCCCCATGTCGTCCTCTCCGAAGGTTGTGAAACCCCCTCGCTGTGGCTCATCGCCTGCGTCCAGATCATCATCGCTGTCGTCATCGAGCCCACCGAATGCGTCCGCTGCCCACACGGATGCTGACATGGCGCCGTCATCGAGCGTCATTGCGTCCCAGTGGAGCTTGGCGCGCTTACCCCCAGGCACCGATGGCGTTGACTCGTCCAGGATCTCGAGCCCGAACTCCTTACTGAAAGCAAGGATCGCATCCGCGCTCACCTGGTCCAGACCCATACGCTGCCTTACCTATAGTGACCTCAATAAATCTACAATAACGAGCCACTTGAGAAATCGATCGAAAGGATCGACATGTAAGCGTACTGATCATAATTTTGGAATTCGACTAAGAGGCGACTGCAAACACCCCCTGGGGATATACATGAAGATGTCTACACGGAACCGCGCGCTTGCTGGCGGCACGCCCAGCTTACACATCTTTCGGTATCGCGCAAGCACGCCGTCATAGGAAACGCTGCAGCCGCCTCCGTCACCGCCCTTGCCGGTGCCAGCCGCCCCGCCCCCCCCCATCACTACATTCGTCGCGCCATCGCCGCTGCAAGAGGGAGAACTCCGCTTTGTGATCATGGCCAGGACAGCTGCACGCGGATTGCCCCCATCGCTGCTTGGCACCGTCGGCGCGGCAGGTGCGATCAGATTTGGCGCGGGGCTCTGGTCCTCCGCCGAATGGCGACTCCGAGTAGCGACAATGGACCGCAGTGAGTCGACGATGCGATCCGTCGTCTCCGGCGGAACGCCGGCAACACGCATTTCGGCGACAATCTCGTCAAGAGTCGCGCCGGTCTGCAGAAGTCGCTTGAAGACAGCGTAGTTTCGGTCGTCCTGGAGCGGTGTCTCGTCTGAGACGTTTTGCGGCGTCAGACTGTGTCGGACCGGGTCCGTTAATGATGTCCGTAGCTCGACATCAGCACTACGCAACGGCAGAGCGGCACGTGTTGCACTCTTCTCCGCCGCCGACAGCCGCACCTCAGTCCCGAGACTGCCACGTCGATCCTTGCGCTTTACACGCGTGGGCACACTCGATTCACCGATTGTGTCACTATTGGTGCTGGTGCCGCCGCCGCCTTGGAGGGCAGGGGCAGTGGTGGCGGGCAGCGACGATGCTGACGCTGAGGCCACGGTGGTGCCACCAAGGGCAGCTTGGGAGACGGTGGCGTCGCCGCGGCCTCCATCGCCGGTGACACAGATCGCAAGTGTTGCGGTGCCCCAAATGCCGCTCTGGGATCTTGACGCTTCCTTGGCTGCCTCGGCGGGCGCAGTGACCAGGACGGACCGCGGCGAGCTACGCGCGGCGGTCGCAAGCGCCGTAGTGAGGCGCGGGTCAGCGCTGCGCCAGTAATTCAGCAAGAGCTTACCATCGCCAGCCCAGTCGCCGGCGAGGCGCGCAAGTGCGGTTGCGGTTGCCGCGCGTGGCGATGGCTCATAGTCGAGGCCGACAAGGACATCGCCAGGGCTGAGGCCAGTGTTCCGTGCGTTGGGCGACACGCGCGTCGCCACAAAGTAGCCAAAGAGTGCTATTGGTGCTAACTCGCGGACTGCGGTGGCGGCCGTCGCCGCCGAACAGTCCGCATCGACGCGGCGCCACTCAACGCCGGCGGCGCGATCGCCTGTGCCGGAAAAGAAGCAGTCAATGAGGCTTAGACTAAAAGGCAGGTCTCAAGTTCTCCCAACCCCTCCACTCAATTTCGAATCATATCGAGGTTGTTGAGGTTGTTGGCTTTGTTTTTCAGGGGTCATTCGCGCTCACTAGGTTGCGCGTATGAACGAAGAACGTTTTCCCGCATGTTACTTTGTAGAGCCCAGCTCAAGGTTTCTGGCGCTCGTACTCACGGAAGCCCGCTACGGCATACTTGCCGCTTATCCGGCCACAACGCTGGCGCCATAGGCATGCATCCACCGGTGATAGCATGTAGCGCGGATTGCCCCGTAGCAGGCTCATCAGCTCACCCGCGTCGAGCTTGGGTGGTAGTGCACGTGCGTTGAGACCTGCGCGAGATCCGACTGGTGAGTCGAGCGCATCCAGTCGAGTTGGATCTCGCTCGCATTGAAATTGCTTCAGATAATTTTGTTAATGACTAATCTTCTCTCGTCGAAGCCTCAACAAAGACTAGAGTTCTCATAAACAAATCCGTGGTAAATTTAGCTCAACGATTTATTTCACCACGGATGGAAGCTCAGAAGGACATCGCCAACCGCAACGCCTGAGGCGCGCGCCTTCTTTGATGCTCGGTCCACAAGGACGCGCAAGCCCCGGTCGTCATTAGCCAGTGCCATCTCGCCTCCAAGCACGCCTGGACCAAGACTACACTCAATGCGCGCCACAAGCTCGTTCTCCGCCACGACGCCAACCTCGCCTATGAGGAATGCCCTTGAAGGCGGCGATGTGCACGCACCGTGCAAGACACAGACGCGACAACAATAACGCGCGTCATAGCTGCCACCATCACCGCCGCCGCTGTTGCCATCCAAGTCGCGCGTTTGGACTCCCTCACCGGGGCCCACCACCACGGATGCTGCGCCCTTGCTCGACGGTGGCGACTGCTCCACGTGCGGGGGTGCATGCAAGCGTGCCGCAGTATTATGGTCCAATGACTCCTTGGTCTCCTGAGGTGCTGCTGAGCTAGGGGACGTGGCGTGCGACTCGGTATTGGTGCCCCGACGAAGCCCGCAACTCGCCACGGTGTCGACGCTGTCCCCGGACTGGGGTTGGGCTTGTCGCGGCGTGTTAGTTTCGTTGGGCGGCGCGGTCGCTCGATGTTGTCTCGCACGCGTGTCACGCGCGAGCTTTGCCTACGCCGCCGATCCATGCAAACAAACAGACGGGTCGGGCTTAGACGGATGGCGCACTTCGAGGGCTCGGCGCTCGCTGAGCGATAACCCATCTGAATCGCGTAGCTTGCTGTAGAGTACGCCGTCGACAGCAAGATCGAAACGTGCCGCCTCGCGGAGCGCCGACGGGTCGCCAATTGGCGGTGATGGCTCGTCGTCATCTCCCTGCGGCTGATTGGGGAAGACGCGCTCGACGACCACGAAGCGCCGCCCTTCCTGCTCCCAGTCAAAGGAAAAGAGTGTCGCGTCCGCGGCTACATCTCCGACACTCTCCAGAAGCCCCAGCCCTCCGCTGTGGAGCAGCGCACCCTCGGCGAACACCTCGCGTTTCTTAGATTTGCGCGACATAGTACACGTGACCTCGTAAGGCTTCCCACTTGGCCCGAAACAAACGCGCCACACGATTCGCAGCTTCGTCTTCTTGTCGAGACGGCCTACCCACGCGGCGGACGGCTGTGCCACTCCGATCCGTAACGCGGGCGCCATTTGCATACGCGCCTATGTCCAGCATATGATGACCGTGTTTGCTAGGGCAAGGGGCTAGTTCGTTCATGCCTGCACCAGACGCCGCGGGTAACGGCTTCAGATTCATTCATCTTCGGCGCTCCGTCCGAACAGCTCCGCCCCATTCGCGTCCGACCGTTCTTTATGACGAACATCGGGATCAAATTCACCGCGCGCACCCAGCAGATGTAACCCAGACCTGGCTGGCGGGAGTTGTCGGCACAGTGAGTGCACGGCACGGGGTTCGACGTAAAAGGGCCGGCGCCACCGGGATCCCGGCGGCGATCCCGAGCGATCCCGAGCGATCTTGAGCGATCTCGAGCGGCCTCGAGCGATCTGCGCGATCCCGAGCGAACTGCGCGCGATCTCGAGCGAACTTGAGCGACATTACGCGATCCCGAGCGATCCCGCGCGCTCAGACGCGATCCCGGCGATCCGGAGCGAGGCGGCGCCGGTCATACGTAACGAGCAGTGCCGGAAGTTGCATTTAGCGCAGCACAATAGGGGCTCGACGTAACGAAAAAAGTACCCCGCTTTTAAGTCGCTGGCGCCGATTGTAAGTCGCAGGGTACTAGTAAGTCGTCGGGCCCCGGCTCAGGTGGAAGATTCTCCTGTATCTGCCCTACTGTCCTTGTTTCCCCTTGCCAAGTTGCAGGTTCCTGTTCTTCTATACTTGGACCTCAGTTCCTCGAAGTCCCCACTTTAACTAGTATTGGGCTCTTCCTTCCCTTTTCCCATTCCCCTCTCTTTCTCTCTTTCTATTCCACGTTAAGACAGTATAGAGCAACCCTCTCCTGTTGGGAATCAGGGCTGCCTAGCAGCCCCATCTCCCTCTACAGCATCCCCTCCACGTCTGTCTATTACAGTGCGGGACGCAGCTATAACAGGGTTAAAAATGTATTAAAGAAGGGAAGGAAACCCCTGGGCGACTCTGTACCAGCAAGCCGCTAGGTAGGTAGAAACCTGTCTATCTCTCTAGGGGCTGGATGGCCCTCTTAGCGGAATTTGCCTGCCACTGCCTGCTTGACTCGCCAGGTATGAGCTGCAGTCTCTCTCAGCTACACGTATCTAGAGCGCAGTGTTGGCTTTTTGCGGTTTTGCGAATGAGGAAGTTCATATGGCAAAGTTAGCAGTCCCCAGATCCGTCTTCACAACGGAATATTGGAATGACATAGCCGCAATCATCGAGCATTCCTTTACCCCCCTGCCCGTTACTCGAACCAAAGCCGGAAAAGCAACTGCAAGATCCAGTGGTGTGGTCACAGAGGCCCCGATCAGAACACGTCGCGTCTTCTTTTGTTCCCTTAATGGTTTCTGTAACAAAGCGC